GCAGACAGTAGCTTATTGATAAGCCTGATAAAGCTGAGAAAATGCAATAAAATTTCATTACTGGCAAACACACAACACGTTAAATCCATAAGAAACTGATTCCAAGACCCGAGCAGCGTATCTTCCACGGTAATAATGTTAATGATGTCATTCCTGCTTATCAGCAATTTCTTGAAAAACAGTCAGTGACAGATGGCAAGCGATAGATTCGTGAAGATCTTTGAGACCGAGATGGATGGTCATTCTCTAACGAAGATAAAGTACTGACAGAAAGAAGAAGTTCTCATATCACTTAAAATTAAAAACTACATACCGATAGAAAATAGAGAAAGAGGAACGGAAGAAATATCAGCCGCCGATCTGCAAGAATCCGAGAAAATATTATGCTTCGCCCATTTTTGGGGTCTTTGTATCAAAAAGAGCTTGAAAGGAATTTCTCAGGTATAAGACAATTTCATTTTTATTATTACCACTCGTCGCTGTATAATATTGATCCTAGAAGACTTCTCTTTGAGTCATAGGCACTAAGCGAAGAATGACTACGACATATGTTAGAAAAGAGAAAAAGTCATTTACCTGTATCACCAGAAAGAAAAATGGCGGCTAAAGTTACAACAGTAACTAGGACTGAACTTAGAGTATCGAGGCGAATACCAAGCCACTTGAGCGAAGCAGTATAGCAGAACAAAGCTCTGTTGTTTGCATCTTGATAACTGAAAGAAAAAAAATAGTTATCATGGAAAAACGATAATATGAAAAGATAAAGTGGCTTAAGCCATATTACAATAAAATTCAGATATAACGTGCGCTCTCATTGGTTGAAAAAGCATGTTTTATCAGTGTATAAAACAGGGAGCTCAGCTAGCTAAAGCGTTCCTGCCATCTGCCAACTTGTAAAATGCCTGACCATCTCCCGGACCTCGCTGACTTTTTTTGTTAATTGATCGACAAGTCTTTCATGACCTGTATCACGAACATAAAACCAAGCTCTTGGCTTCAATTGGTATAGAAAAACTTTTAGATAACATTGCAAGTTACACAGAAATAGGAGGTGAAATTTAGGAACGAGCGAGCCGGCAAGGGGCAACATAGGCACCAGACAGAAGTTTGTAAACATGCCAAGCGACGTAACTTACGAAATCATAACGTGAGCTGAGACGGAAAACGAAATAAACTGTCAGGCCGAATTTTGAAGTTTTCACGTTCAGTTAAATCATCATTCAAGTATGTATAGTGATGAAACTCGAACACAGATAACACTCGTATAGTATGTAAAGTTTCCTATTAAAAAAAAAAAAACAGAAAAAAACAAGGAATGATGAGAAATATAACCATCCTGGCAAAAATTTGTAAACTGTTAGAAATTTGGACAGATCATGACTGTGTCCGAACGACTGCGATCATGCTGCGGTCCATCGCGATTAGCTCATCATAGCTATACCCAGTCATGGCAGTGAAGCCATGGATTCATGGATTCCACGGATTTCACTGAAAATTTCATTTTTAGATTCTGTACTTAGGCTAAAAACTATAAGCAAAAGTGTTTAGTTCGACCTGCCGAAATACTTCAGTTTGTGAACTATTGCAGATTGCGAACTAGGATGGTTTGACATTTTTGGCAGCTTTCAACTTATTCAAAAAATCAGATTATTTGGACTCTTCTCAAAACGATTCTGATTGACCACCTTTTAAGTTAATTAAATGACGATCTTACTATTTAGCTTTAGGTTACCTGTAAAAACGGTCCAGGAATACTGCCTCTCTTTTGTACACACGAACTGTCGTGATGCCTTGAATTGTGTCTGTCACATGTGAGCATACTGGGCTGTTCGTGATGGCTTCAATTCTCTTGATCTCACGTGCTGTGATTGTATAGCGTTTGCTAACATACAACGACAGAATTGTAAAAGGCACACTTGCTCCAATGATCCATACGTTAGCAACAGATATCAAAACCAAAATACTAATGGTGAACATGGCGTATTGAACAGACTCTGAAAGGACATAGGGTAATACTTCATCCATGCACCCAACGTCTTTAGCAAAGCGATTTAAGATACGACCAGCTGGATTAACATCAAAGAAAGAAACGGGAGCTCTCAACAGTGAAGTCAGCATGGCGGCATGCAGGCGAGAAGAACTCTTGATCATTCCGTAGAAGGATAGAAAGGAGCGGATTAAAGCGAAGATGAAGCAGCTACTAGCCAGACCGATGTAGACATAAGCGTTTTCAGCTTTCTGCTGATCTTCCCACGATTGCTTTGTCCAATAT